GGCCTGGGGCGTGCGGCGCTGCCCGGGGCCGCCTGGAGACCGGCGTGGAGCTCTCGTGCTGCTCTGCTGGACGCCGGCGCGGTTTGCCGAAGCTCTGGTCCTCCATAAATGCCACTGCTGTGTAACGCCTGTCACTGCCTTGGGCCTTCATTTCAGTCCAGTGGGAAGGTGGTGGTGAGCGAGCTGCACCTGGCTCGGTTCTCAGCTCGTGTTCACATATGCGGGTAAATAAGTGATATGATCCAGGGAAGGAGACTCCACAGCCTCTCTGACGACTTCTAGTGCTTGGTCACCCTCACAGTGAATTATTTTTCCATATTTCTGATGGAGCTACCCCCACGTTTCTGTGTGTGTACACGCATATGCCCATGCATCTATTCTAGTCCTCTCTGCCTTTAGCTAGAGAAATGAGAGAAAGAGCCGCCCTGGCTGAAGCACTGACTAACACTGTGGAAGGTCGGAGGAGCCTCTCAGACCCGGCACCCGCTGACGCTACGTGTCCACTGCAGGACCTGAGTGGCTGGGAGTGCTCCTGGACTGTGTCCTGGTCCATTGCAGCGCTGTGCTGTGCCAGCTGCCGTTTGAGGGTTCTCCAGATGCTTCTGAGGCCCTGGGAAGAGCTGGGTGCCAAAGGCAGCCAGTGGTGAGAGGGCTGCCTGGGTTCGATGGAGCAGCACTGGCCTTGCAGCATGCACCGTCCCTGCGGCCCCCCATTCTGGCCGAGCAAAAGCTGAGACTACAGGCAAGGAGGTCAGTGGGTATTTCAAGATTTTAATACATAAGTGGGAAACATGGAGATCTTTGAGGAGAAACTCTCAGATTTTGGTCTTACTGAAGAATTTGATACCGGAAAGGAAGTGATCCTTTCTTTGGGTCTTCTTTTAAGGTCATGGGAGGAGGCTGTGGAGAGATATTACAGGAGGAAGGGAGAGGACAGCAGTAGGGTGGACCAGGCGATAAGAAGGAGAGCAAAATAACGCCCGCGTGGGGCGTGAGGAAGAGCCCCCATCAGTCCCGCGCGCAAGCCCAGGAAGGCCGAGGGGCCGCCAGGAGCAGCGCTGTGGCCAGCAGGGGGCAGGCGGGACTCGCC